TTACAGCGCAAATTAGTTTCTCATTCAAAAATTTATGCACAAATTGTTTTGTGACTTTGGTTGCAATCCCTGCAATGTGTCAGCACTTTCCCCCTTTCCCTTTCCACCCTGGGTTCTCTGTGTCTATTCGTACACTTTTCTTGTCCCTTCCTCCCTTCTCGTCTTTGCTTTTGAGCAGGTGTTGCCTCTTTGGTCTCGTATACTTGATTAAACTAAGAAACACATTCCTCACATGTGTTATTGTTTGCTTTATAGGCCTGTCTAATCTTTGGCTGAAAGGTGGACTTCAGGAGTGGCTTCAGTTCTGAGTTAGCAGGGTATCCGGGGGGCATAGTCTTGGTAGTTCTTCAGTGTCTGTCAGACCAGTAAGACTGGTCTTTTTTTATTAATTTAAATTTTGTTCTACATTTTTCTCCCACTCTGTCTGGGACCCTCTATTGTGATCCCTGTCAGAGTAGTCAGTGGTGGTAGCCAGGCACCATCCAGTTCTTCTGGGCTCAGGCTGGTAGAGGCTGTGGTTCATGTGGTCCATCAACTCTTTGGACTAATATTTTCCTTGTGTCTTTGGTTTTCTTCATTCTCCTTTGCTCCGAACGAGATGGGACCAATAGATGTAGTTTAGATGGCCACCTGCAAGCTTTTAAGACCCTAGACGCTACTCACCAAAGTAGGATGTAGAACATTTTCTTTATGAACTATATTATGCCAGTTAACCTAGACATACCCTGAGACCATGGTCCTCAGCCCTTAGCCCCAGTAACTCGGTCCCTCAAGGTGTTTGGATGTGTCTAGAAGCTTCCATGACTTTGCCTTGGTTAAGTTGTGCTGACTTCCCCTATATTGTGTGTTATCTTCCCTTCATCGAAGTTACAACTTGTCTACTATGTAGTTAGTGATTTTCTCTCTCCACCCCTCCCCTCCCTTGTAACCATCAAAGATTGTTTTTTTCTGTGTGTAAACCTTTTCTTGGGTTTTTATAATAGGGATCTCATATAATATTTGTCCTTTCCTGATTGACTTATTTCACTCAGCATAATGCCCTCCAGATTCATCCATGTTGTGAGATGTTTCACAAATTCATCATTGTTCTTTATTGTTGCATAGTATTTCATTGTGTGTACGTACCATAATTTATTTATCCATTCACCTGTTGATGGGAACTTAGGTTGTTTCCATCTTTTGCTATTGTGAATAATGCTGCTGTGAACCCGGGTGTACGTATGTCTATTTGTGTGACGGCTCTTGTCTAGGATATTCCTAGGAGTGGGATTGCTGGATCGTATGGTATTTCTATTTCTAGCTTTTTAAGGAAGCGTCATATCGTTTTCCATAGTGGTTGTACCATTTTACGTTCCCACCACCAGTGCATGAGAGTTCCAATCTCCCTGCAATGTCTCCAACATTTGTTAATTTCTGTTTTTTTTTTTTGATTAGTGCCAGCAATGTCAGGGTGAGATGGTATCTCATTATAGTTTTGATTTGCATTTCTCTAATGGCTAATGATCGTGAGCATTTCCTCATGTGTCTGTTGGCTGCCTGAATGTCTTCTTTGGTGAAGTGTTCATTTCCTTTGCCCAGTTTTAAATTGGATTATTTGTCTTTTTGTTAGTGAGGTGTTGAAGTATTCTAAAGATTTTTTTCCCAGTCTGTAGGTTCTCTTTTCACTCTTTTGGTGAAGTCTTTTGATGAACATAGTGTTTAATTTTTAGGAGCTGGCAGTTATCTAGTTTATCTTCTGGTGTTTGTGCATTGTTAGTTATGGTTTGTATTGTATTTATGCCATGTATTAGGGCCCCTAGCATTGTCCCTGTTTTTTCTTCCATGATCTTTATTGTTTTAGGTTTTATGTAAGTTACAATCTTTATGAGGCAGCGTATTATAATGGTATGAGCTCTTGCTTTGGAGTCAGACAGACCTGGATTCACTTCTCATCTGTTAAGGTCAGCAGATTGCTTCACCTTTCTGACCTTCTGTTTCTTCATCCATAAAATGGGAGCATTAGTGCCTGTCTCACAGGAGTGGTATAAGGATCAAATGATACAACATACTTAAAGATGGCTAGTATGGTTGCTGGTGCTCAGTAATTGTTTGCTCTCTCTGTCCATCTCACTCCTCTCCCAACCTTGTGACTGAATATGAGGCTGGGATTGACTGCTTTAGTCACCCTAACACAGCCTGCCTAGAATAAGGAGGGACTAGCCCAGGTGCTGTGGTCCCCCCAAGGGAGTAGGTGCACCAAACTGGCAGTCAGGAGTGGGTTAGTTCTTCACCCAGCCATGTCACTGACTTCTTTGTGATCTTGGGGGGATCAGTTAATCATCATTGCCTTGGTTTACTCCTCTGTAAAACGGGGATAATACCTGCCCCACTTGCCTTATAGAGGTTATATGAGGTTGTTGGGTTTAAGTGAAGTAACAGAGGACAAAACACTTTTACACAGCATGAAATATTATGCAGCTGTCATGCAAAATAATTAATATTCATAATATATTAAAAAGAGATAATGATAGTATTTCATATGTTGTGAGGATTATGCGAGATAATGCACGTAAAGTTTAGCGCAGTGTCTGGCAAGTATTAAGTGCTCAGTAAGTGGGAGCTCTTGTTGTTGCTGTTAATCATCATTTTAAGTCTGATAAAGATGGAAAAGAAAGTTAGTAAATATTTTCATTCATTGATTAATTTCAAAAAAAGTCAGGAAGTGATAGTAAAAATCATGGTAACACAAACAGCATTTGCACAGCAAATGACCAGTTTAAAAAGCGCTTGCATATTCATGATTTTGTTTAACCCTCACAACTACTCCCTGAGGAAGGGACTAGCATCTCCACTGGATAGATGAGGAAACTGAGACTCATAGTGGGGAAGTGACTTGCACAGTGTCTCCCTACTGAGAATCCAACTCAGCACCTCTGCCATCAAATTGTTACCCTAGATGTTCTCGCCCCCGTTCCCATCCCTGTCCCCAAACTGCCCTCCAACCCATTTTCTCCAGAGGAGGCTTGCAGCCCTCGTTCCTGGCTGGTCCAGGCTGCTGGCCTGCAGGTGCTGGAGTGCTGCGGGCACCACGCCCCTCGTAAGGCAGCTGCAGAGGCAGAATCATCTCAAGGGTTTGCATGGCTGAGTGAGGAAGGCCCAAAGAGCCATTCTGAGCCCAGCCACTTTTCCAGAGTGCCCTTTTCCAGAGTGCCTTCATCAGCCCTGCAGCTTTGCTTTCCCAGCTAAAACATATGTAGCTGTTGCTATGGCGAGAGCCTGACTGCTGCAGCTGCTGTGAGTACTTTTTCGTTTCTGCCATTTCCAGTGCATTTTCAGTTCCCAGTTCCAGCCAAGGCCTGTGGTCTGCAAATAAACATGTCAAACAGCCGCTGTGGTGCTGAGTACAGAGATCCTGGGCACCACGCTGCCCGTTCACAGCTTCCTGTCTCAACCTTCCTGCCTTAGGTACCATTTAGATGTGGGAGGGAGGCTGTAGCAGTTACTAAATCGTATTGTGTTTTGTTTTTTATTCTTAGAGGGTATACATGTTTATTGCAGAAAATCTGGAAAAGAAAAACTTGAATAGTTACCCATTTTGTAAATGTTTCCCAAGCACTTGCTATGTAGTAGGTCTTACGCTGGGTGTGACAGACAAAAGACATGAGTAATATATTATTACCTATATTCCCATTAGTAAAAGATAACCACTATTAATTTTTTGATGAGTTTATTTCTAGTTTTTTTAAATATGCACATGTATTTTTAATGTATTTTAAGATCATTTCTACTATAATTTTGTATCCTGCTTTTTCTTTAATTTGCATGATAACATGATCATCTTAAAAATATTATAAATAGTATCTTGAAACGTTATTAAAACAATCTTTTCTTCTTGGTTAAAAAAGCAATCCATGCTTGTTATAAAACATTCAAACAATTCAAAAGTATATAATGAACTGATTTCATATTTATACCCCTACCCCCAAGAAAGAGCTAATCTTAACCATTTTTAATGGCTGTATATATTCAACTACTTCCTCATTATATAATTTTAGATTTTTTGATGTTTTATTACCATAAATAAAGCTGGGATAAGTATCTTTGTATATAGAACTTAAGTTTTTCAGATCTCGTTTATGTGGTAATTTCCCAGTTGAGAGATTTTGGAGTTAAATGGTATGAACTCTTACATCAACTTGAATTCCTATCAATGATGTATGAGCTTATCCATTTCACCATAGCTTGCTGGCATAGAATATTGTAATTAAAACCCACAAGATCAAATTTTGTTAACTATGATAATTGAATTGTATCTTGTTTTAATTTGCATTTCTTCAGTGTCTGTTGAATTTTCCGTGTTTGTTAGCCAGATGTATTTCATCGTTTTTTTTAAGACCTTTTTTTTTTTGGCTTAGCTGTTAGAATCTTAATACTTTTTCTCATCTATTGGTATGAGAGCTTTATATAATAGTGTCTGAGGTGTAGGAAATTCTAGGACCTCATTAAGGGAAAGATAAGGCTGGCTTCTCTGTATTAATAATAATAGTTAAGAATTTTAAGCTGTGGAGTCAAACTATCCAAGTTTAAATTTTGTTACTAATACTTTCTAGCTGTGTATCCTTGAACAAGTGATCTGACTACCTCAGTTTCCTCATCTGCAAGATTGGGATAATAGTATATATTAATGAGATGGTTGTTAGGAATCAGAGTGTATATATAAAGTTTTTAGTAAAATGCCTGCTAGGACTTGATTACTGTACTTTTCTGCAAGTAATGCATGCGTTATACGTTTTTTGCCAAGCGCGCAACCCCCTCCTTGCTATTTTTGTAAGCAAACTATGCCATGCGTTATATGTGTGGGTGTGTTATTTATGTGGGCGCATATTTGCGAAAAAATACGGTAATGTGAGCTTTTGTCACTATTGGTATTTCCCAAATAAGCTGTTCATAGTTCTGGAATATTTGTCCCCCACCCTTTTCCACTCCCAGTTATTACACTGCCTCATTTTGTGTTTCTGCAGATCAGCCAAATGGCCGATGACACAGTTGCAGAGCTGGACAGGCATCTGGCAGTGAAGACCAAAGAACTCCTTGGATGAAAGTCCACAGGGGCCAGCAACACTCCAGAGCCCAGTTTCTGGTGGATCCCACGGGTGGCAAATTGGGAACTCTCTACCAGTCCTTGTGAAGCCCAGCCTTCCAGTGGGACACACAGACTTGCTCACTCTCTTCCTCCTAACCCCTGCCTACCCCATTCTGCTGTGGGCCTGCTATCATGGGTGACCCTCAGAGAATACTGGCTGCTGGCTGAGGGTGTTTACTTGGGGTATTTGCCTTGACTGTAATATTGCCAAGGGACTAGGACTATTGGCAGAGTTAGCACCTCCTGCTCCTTGTCTCAGAAGCCTCCTTTTCAAACAGGCAGTCAGGTCCTGTCTCCAGTTTGAACTCTGCTTGGGCTCATGTGGGCCTTCACTTGTGACTGGACACCTTTGCTGGAGGCCCATTTTCACTGAACTGTAAACTCCAAATAAATTGGAAAGAATAAAAATCACAAAGGAAAGGATGGAGTTGGTCTGGATTGATGATCTCTAAGGATCTGCATATAAAGCAACCATGGCAGTACTTTTCTTTGCCTCTGGGTCATCTTACATGCTGTTTCCTTTACCTGGAACATTCTTCCATTCCTCCTCACTTGACTGGTCCAGTTTATCCTTTAGGTCTCAGCTTGGATATCACTACCGCTGGGAAGTCTTCGGTCTCATGCTAACCTAGGACCCCTGTTTTTAGCTTTCATAGCACCTTCTGCTGTTTTTATCTGAACACTAATGGTTCTTTTTGATAATTTGTCTTATGTATCCTCAGTATCCCCAGAACTTGGCATAGTGCCTGGAACACAGTAGGTGCTCAAATATTTGTATTGTGATTGAATGGCACATAGTAGGTACTCAACAAATGCTGGCCTCTTTTCCTTTCTTTCATTTTCTCCTCTTGCCCTTGCCCTCAACATTTACTTAAAATGAAATGCCTTTCCCCCATGGCCTGCCTGTTGCTGACAAGTGGTTTGCTGTGGCTCATCTTTGGGTACTGGGTTAAATAGTCCCCCCTCCCCCAGTATTTTCTCATTAATTCATTCATAGTGTAGCCACCAGGAGCCAGACACAGTTCTAGGCATTATTTTTAATCTTTACAGTAAACTTGAAAGACATATATTGTCTCCATTTTACAAATAGGAAAACCAAGTTTTGACAATATTAGGTAACTTGCCCAAAGTATGAAAACCTAGCAAGTGGTAGAAGGTTTAATTGTCTGTAATCCATTAAACAACTGTGCAAGGTAAGAATTGTCAGTCTCATTTTACAGAGAAGGGAGAACTCAGAGAGGTGAAGTTTCTTGTCCAGGATTACATAGCTAGCAAGTGGCAGAGCTGGGATTCAAATTAAGGCCTGACTCTAAAGCATGTGGTCTACCACTGCATCCTACTGCCTTCATAAATATCTAGTGAGCACCAACTGTGTATCAGGTACTGTGCTACATGCTGGAAATTAAAAAATGGGCAAGAGTGACCCCTGGCTTGGGTGCACTGGACTGAATTGCTATTACAGTGCCTTGAGTAGAAAGATAGGAAGTTCAGTCCAGTTGTGCCAGGTGTCTACACTCAGAGTGGAACCCACTTTGGCAGCAGCAGGACCTGGCTGAGTTCCTTCAAAGTAGAATCCAACTTCTCTTTGCTGTTGACTCCTTCCAGACTCTGTCCCATGCTAGAGGTAGTAAGGGCTGCACTTCTCTCGCTCCTTATACTGGTGGAGCAAGCTACCAAACAGCCAGTGGGGATTCAAGATCAAAATAATCTGCCCTGCTTCCCACTCACCAGCCCTTAGTGGCCATCACACACTCTGAAGTCATAGCTATGGGGAGGATAGGGATAGAAATAGCAAACATGGAGCCTTTTTAGGGGTAAGCCACATGGCAGGAACTTTGCAACAGTTTTTGTGAGTGGTCGAAATCCCCCACTCGCTGCAAATGTTCTCAAAGATGCAGGATTTTTTAATAAACAGAGGAAATGATAAATTATGTTGTAACTCCACGCCAAAGGCATTTGGTTCTTAACAGCCAAATCCTCTGTAGTCTTTAAATAAACAAAAACTTATTTGGTGAACAGACGGCGGGGGGGAAATGAAAGATTTTCTGTACTTGGGTTCCACATGTCAACAATTTCTCTCCTGTGTGTATGTTGGCCAAAGCCGAATATCATGATAAATGAATAAAGGAAAACCTCGAGCCCAGGGCAGTCAAGCAGCTCAGCAAATGGCTTTCAGCTGATTACTTTATTTCAGTTGACATTTATCAGAGAGTTTCTCTGTTACTCTGTGTTTCAGGCTGCAGTGGTGGCACAGACAAGCATAAGACTACCTGTTTGGATATGCTGAGTAATGAGTAATGCTGGAGCAGTTCATTCTCCTCCTCTCCCTCAGTCTCTCTCACTTTCAAAAAGAAAAACTGGGTATGGAAATTCTCACACTTGCCAGAAGAATTAGCCACCTCTTCTATTCAGTTCAACAGCTTTCAAAGTCCTATGAAAAATTCAGTCCAAAGAAAATTCAGCAACTATTTTTTTCTTGTTTTTTTTTTTCCTTGTGTGTATGTGTGTGTGTTGGAAATGACAAAAGAAACTGGGATGTGAAAAGCTAAAAAAGAAACTTCTCACAAGTGCCCAGTCTTATTCCTCTTGTACAATTAGGTGTGTATCCTTCTAGACCTTTCGCTATACATATGTAATTAAAAGGAAAGGGAATTATTCTGTTCATATTTCTAAAGCTTGCTTTTTTTAATCCAACAACACATCATGGCCATCTATCTGTGTGTGCATGTAGATAGAGTTCATTCTGTTTCATTACAATATAGTATTTATTCTAATATGAATCTACCATAACTATTACTCCTGTGGTATTCTCTTTTAAAAAAAAAAAAATCATTTCAAATGCATTGGAGGATGTTTTTATTTGAAGATAACTTTTTTGTTGTTGTTGGAGAAAGAACCCCTATTCTATTTGTTTGGTAAGCCCTGCTCTTCCTCCTTCAACCCCAGATGAACATTTATTGAATGCCTGCTGTGGACCAGGTACAATGCTAGGCCCTTTACATAAGTGGTGCAAATGGTTAACATGCTCAGCTTGTAGCCAAAAGCCTAGAGGTTCAAGCCCACCTAGAAGCACCTTGGAAGAGAAGTCTGGTGATCTACTTTTGAAAAATCAGCCATTGAAAGCCATATGGAGAAAATAAACTAGATAACTGGGATCTCCTAAAAATTAAACACTCAGGCTCCTCAAAAGACTTCACCAAAAGAGTAAAAAGAGAACCTACAGACTGGGAAAAATTTTTTGGTTATGACATATCCAGCAAGGGTCTAATCTCTAAAAGCTGTACAATACTTCAGCACCTCAGTAACAAAAAGACAAATTATCCAATTTAAAATTGGGCAAAGGATATGCAACAGGTGCTTCACCAAAGAAGACATTCAGGCAGCTAACAGACACATGAGGAAATGCTCCCCGATCATTAGCCATTAGAGAAATGCAAATCAAAACTATAATGAGATACCATCTAACCCTGATATTACTGGCACTAATTTTAAAAAAAAGAGAATAACAAATGTTGGGAGAGGTTACCAGGAGATTGGAACTCTTGCACTACTGGTGGGAGTGCAAAATGGTACAACCACTGTGGAAAACGATATGGCACCTCCTTAAAAAGCTAGAAATAGAAATACTATACTATCCAGCAACTCCACTCCTAGGAATATGTCCTAGAGAAATAAGAACTGTCACATGAATAGATGTATGCATACCCATGTTCACTGCAGCATTATTCAGAATAGCAAAAAGATGGAAACAACCTAAGTGCCCAACAACAAATGAATGGATGAACAAATTATTGTACATACACACAATGGAATACTACACAATGATAAAGAACAATGATGGATCTTTGAAACATCTCTCAACATGCATGAATCTGGAGGGTATTATGCTGAGTGAAATAAGTCAATCTCAAAAGGAAAAATATTGTATGAGACCACTATTATAAAAACCTAAGAAAAGGTTTACACATAGGAAAACAAAAAATCTTTGATGATTACAAAGGAGGAGAGGGGAGAGTTGGGGAGGGGAAATCACTAGCAGATAAGTGTTAACTTTGGTGAAGGGAAAGACAACACACAATACACGGGAAGTCAGCACAGCTTGACCAAGGCAAAGTCATAGAAGCTTCCTAGACACATCCAAACACCTTGAGGGATAGAGTTACTGGGGCTGAGGGCTGGGGACCATAGTCTCAGGGGGCGTCTAGGTTAATTGGCAAAACGTAGTTCATAAAGAAAGAGAATGAAGAAAACCAAAGACACAAGGAAAGTATTAGTTCAAAGGACTAATGGACCACATGAACCACAGCCTCCAACAGCGTGAGCCCCGAAGAGCTAGATGATACCTGGCTACCACCACCGACTGCTCTGACAGGGATCACAATAGAAGGTCCCAGACAGAGCGGGAGAAAAACATAGAACAAAATTCAAATTCACAAAAAATAAAGACCAGTCTTACTGGTCTGACAGAGACTAGAGGAACCCCCAAGACTGTGGCCTCTGGATACCCAGATATATCAGAACTGAAGCCTCTCCCAAAGTCCACCTTTCAGCCAAAGATTAGACAGGCCTATAAAACGAACAATAACACACGTGAGGAATGTGTTTCTTAGTTCAATCAAGTATAGGAGACCAAATGAGCAACACCTGCCCAAAAGCAAAGACGAGAAGGCAGGAGGGGACAGGAAAACTGGACAAATAGTCACGGAGAACCTGGGGTGGTAGGGAAAGGGGGAGCGTGCTGACACATCACAGGGATTGCAACCAATGTCACAAAACAATTTGTGTATAAATTTTTGAATGAGAAACTAATTTGCCCTGTAAACTTTCCCCGAAAGCACAATAAAGTCATAAAGAAAATCATACGGAGCACATTTCTTCTCTGACACACATGGAGTCACCATGAGTCACAATCAACTCTACTAACTGGTAACTTGTTACATATGTTACTATGTTTAAACTTCCCAACAGTCTTAGTTGGTGTAGGTATTAATTATCTGTGTTTACATATGGGAAAACTGAGGTTCAGGAAGGGTATGTAACTTGCTAGTAAGTGCCAGAGGGAAGTTTGAAACCGAGGTGTGTCTGACTTCGAAGTGTACAGTGCTTCGATTCAGTAAGCCTTCACTGAGCACTTTCTCAACGTAAACCTGGCACTGTTCTGGACCCCGAAGGTGATACAAGAGAAGCAGAAATTTTATGTTCATAAAACAATCAGAAAGCTATGTTAATAAAGGAAGGCATGTAAAACACGCCACACACTCACTGAAGAAATGGCAGCTGTTACGGAGACAGTAAATGTTACATATTTATACCTCACCTGTTTGACAGACTTTCCTCTCCAGAATGTGTCGTAGATCCAGGAAGTAAGCTATGAATAATAATAACAGCACCAATAATAATAGTATTGACAGCATCAATAACTAGTATTTGCTTGGTGGT